CGCTGACGAAAAATAACAAACGATCGTCCCGATGTTCAATTACGGTTTATTGACAGCGAAAAAAGATATGTAGAAACTGCCGTTCAATTTAATCGCTATCGTCACGAAGTTGAAAAACATCCTAACTTAGACAGTTACTTAGTTTCTCGGGTCTGAAATATGGGTGCTATTCCTTGCTTTTGCTATTTAGAAATAGTAATAGATAATACCTCAGATAGAATGTTGGCTGATCCTCGCATGCTTCGCTTGATTGAGTTGGCTTCTCGGCGATCTTTTGCTTCTAATGATATTCGCTCAATTGCTAAGGATAAAAAAACAGGTGAAAAACTTAACTGAGTGTTTATGTTAGAAAAGGAAAAAGGATGAAGTGAAAAAAAGGCTATTAAACACATTAATAAACAAATGGAAGAAGAAACTAAAGAATTTAACAATTTAGTTCAAGAAATAAAAATTAATGATCCTACTAAAAAAACTTATGCAGATACCCTGAATGAATGGGTAGATGGTTATATTGGTTGATGTGAAAATAGTGTTCGTTATTCCAAAAAGCAAGATAATAAAGCTGAAAAAGAAAATGAAGAACAAATAACTAAAATAGAGCAACCGACCAACAAAAATTTTTTTCATAACTTTTCTCAAAGGATTTTGAAAAATAAAAACTAGAAATGAAAAACATGTATTCTAAATTTTATGAAGCACATGGAAGCAGAGAAGGCTGAAAAGACAAATCATTCACCGGCCCGACTAAGGAAAAATAACTTGAAGCCCTTGCTAACTCTCTTTCAGACTCAGAAAAAGAAAATCAAACAAGCGAGGAGCCAAAAAAAAGCCTCTAACCCTTAATCAAGCCCAAAAGGTAATTCAAAAACTACCACAGTTTTAATAATTGGTCTATTTTTATTTACCAAAAGAAGAAAATAGTACACAAAAAATAAATATATGAACAAAGAGAAGCAAAGTTTTCTTCTTTATCAACTAAATCCTTTAAAAAAATTGGAAGAATTTATTCAATAAAGCAAACTAAAATTAAAATAATATGAATAAAGATTATTTTTTTCAATTTATTCGAAGTTCTATAACTTGATTAGAAAAATTACAAGAAGTCTTTGGCAAATGTCAGGAAGCAATCCAAAGCGGAAAAAGTCACGAAATGGATGGCAGCCGATTTAACGGCAATGCTGAGACTGGAAAAGCAACTTTCCAAGCAATTGCTAATTCTCTTTCTGTTTCCAACCAGGAGGATTTTCATTTTTGACCGCAAGAAAACCCAAAAGAGTCTAACCCTCAAGGAAAAAATAGCAGCAAACTCGAAAATGAAAATTCACAACTAGCCACTAACCAGCAAAAAAACGAAAACACGGCACCAAATCCGAGGCCGTGCA